GGGAAGGCATGATAGTATTTTGCAATGTGAAAAGGAAGAAGGATATAGGATTTGGGGGACCAGGGGTGGAATGATATTGTTTGAATCTGTGTCTTCACCAAATATGTAATCCCCATCTCAGATTGTAATCCCCAATGTTGCAGGTGGGGCCTGGTCGGAGGCAATTGGATCATGGAGGTGGTTTCTCATGAATGGTTTAACAACATCCCCTTGGTGCTGTTCTTGTGATAGTGAGTGAGTTCCCATAAGATCTGGCCATTTAAAAGTGTGGCACCTTCCCTGTCAGTCTCTCTCTCTTTCTTTCTTTCTTTCTTTTTTTGAGACAGAGTCTCACTCTGTCGCTCAGACTGGGGTGCAGTGGCGCAATCTAGGCTCACCGCAACATTTGCCTCCTGGGTTCAAGTGATTCTCCTGCCTTAGCCTCCTGAGTAGGCGGGATTACAGGTGCACACCATCACACCATGTTGGCCAGGCTGGTCTGGAACTCTGTTCCCCTTGGCCTGGCAAAGTGTTGGGATTACAGGTGTGAACCAATGTGCCTGGCCCCCTGTCACCCTCTTTTTCTCCTGCTCCCACCATGTGAGATGCCTTGCTCCCACTTTGCCTTCTGCATGATTTTAAGTTTCCTGAGGCCTCCCTAGAAGCCAAAGAAATGCCAGTGTCATGCTCCCTGGACAGCTTGCAGAACCATGAACCAATTAAATCTCTCTCTCTCTCTCTCTTTTTTTTTTTTTTTGAAATAAATTACCCAGTCTCAGGTATTTTTTTTTTTTTTTTTTTGTAGCAGCATGGCAATGGACTAATACAGAGGCTCAAAGAGGACACTGCATAATAATATGATCTAAGTTATGGGGTAATAGTACAGATTAAAAGAAATATATGGATGGAGTGCTCAGCCCAAAGCTTAGCTTTTAGTTCCTTCATTCTGATTACCTCTGTATCTATAGCATCAATAAGGTATTTGACTTGAATTTCTAGTTTTAGACACCTTAATAAAGAAAAAAATGACTCAAAGAATATGTGGGTTGTGGGGAGAGGATCCATAGAACAACAGGGAGGAAGAGGGTGAGGGAGGAAGGAAGCTAAATAGTCTTCAAGTTAGGCAATCAGCATTAGGCTATTTGGGAGTTGATATAGGTCAAATAGTGGCAAAAGGTGGGATGCCCAAGAGAAAGTTATTTAAGGATGGCACATGCTATTTACATGCATGGTGTTACTTTTGTTGCCAGAACAATTTTTGTCTTTATCAACATGTTTCCTTTAATCATAATTATAGACTATATATAGCTAGGTGAAGGAATAAATAATGAAAAGCACTAATTGGGGTTACACAATACCAGGGCTGTGTAGCATTGCTGTCTCAACATAGACATCTCTAATTCCTAACTGTCCTGTTTCAGCCTTGGCCATAGTGACTTCATGCCTTATCTTTTCCCACTTGACTTGGCAGCCTGTTTATACAGTTATCTTTATCCAATATAAGCCTTAAGGCCCAATATTCTTGAGCCTCACAATCTTTATATCTTTCACTTTTCTAGGATTTTTTTTTGTGTGTGTGTGTAATAGCAGTATATAGCCACTTTAGAGACTAGGATCTAAGTTTTCGGTGTTTTTTTCTTTTCTCCACACCAATATGATAGTTTGCTTTTCTTGATCATCACACAGTTTCCATCCTAAAAATTGTGGCTTAACTGATCGCTAGAAAACATAAAGGGGGAAAAAGAAAGCAGAAAGGGTGGGTTAGCCCAAATGGTATCCATCTTTCTCAGGGGAGAGATTTCCATTATATTGCACATGTATGTGGATGCCTTCATTAGTCACTGACTGAACTGTAACTTGGACAAAAGGGTGCCTACCTCATTGAATAGCGGCAAAGATTCAATAAGGTGATGAGATGCTACCTGTAGTAAGGATACAGTAGAGACCAGCTGCTGCTGTTCACCTTACTGCTGTTCTTCCTCCTATACTGTGGTTATTGCTTATCTCTGCCTATTGCTGTTTTGTGCTGCTACTCGTGTCATTGCTACTAGAACTTAGAAGTTTGCATAAGAATGGAAGAAATGGTTAATCACAGAAACATTTCTCTGTGCAGGTGGTATTTACTCTCTCATTGCCTTGTCACTATTGAGTAAATAAGCAACAGTTTGATTCTCCATAGCTTAAAAAACTCTAACCACGTAGTCAATTTTCAAATGCTTGGGGTGTATATGGCAAGTTTTTTTTTTAAACTTTAAGTTCAGGGATACATGTGCAGAATGTGCAGATTTGTTACATAGGTATACATGTGCCATTGTGGTTTGCCGTCAACCCATCATCTAGGTTTTAAGCCCGGATGCATTAGGTGTTTGTCCTAATGCTATCCCTCTGCTTCCCCCACCACCCAGTGGGCCCCAGTGTGTGATGTTCCCCTTCCTGTGTCCATGTGTTCTCATTGTTCAACTCCTACTAATGAGTAAGAACATAGTGTTTGGTTTTCTGTTCTTGTGATAGTTTGCTGAGAATGATGGTTTTCAGCTTCATCCATGTTCCTGCAAAGGACATAAACTCATTATTTTTTATGGCTGCATACTATTCCATGGTGTATACGTGCCACATTTTTTTATCCAACCTATCATTGACAGGCATTTGGTTTGGTTCCAAGTCTTTGCTATTATAAATAGTACTGCAATTAAACATATGTGTGCATGTGTCTTTATAGCAGAATGATTTGTAATGCTTTGGGTATATACCAATAATGGCATTGCTGGGTCAAATGGTATTCTGGTTCTAGATCCTTGAGGAGTCACCACACTGTCTTCCACAATGGTTAAACTAATTTACACTCCTACCAACAGTGTGAAGCATTCCTATTTCTCTACATCCTCTCCGGCATCTGTTGTTTTCTGACTTTAATGATTGCCATTCTAACTGGCGTGAGATGGTATCTCATTGTGGTTTTGATTTGCATTTCTCTAATGACCAGTGATGTTGAGCTTTTTTTCATATGTTTATTGGTTGCATAAATGTCTTCTTTTGAGAAGTGTCTGTTTATATCCTTTGCCCACTTTTTGATGGGGTTGTTTGTTTCTTGTAAATCTGTATAAGTTCCTTTTAGATTCTGGATATTAGACCTTTGTCAGATGGATAGATTGCAAAAATTTTCTCCCATTCTGTAGATTGTGTGGCAAGTTATTAAACCTATATTAGCGCTGGGTTGCAGCCCAGGAGCCTTCCAGACCACTTCCCCCAACTATCAGACGTTGTGTGCATAGAAATGAGATTACCAAGTTTGATTACCAATTAAAGGGAAGCATAATCTATCAGAATCCATATGTATATGTGTGTGTGTGTGTGTGTGTGTGTGTGTGTGTGTGTATATATATATATATATATTCATACAAAAATATGTAGGATTCTCAAGGCAGTATTTTTCAAAATATTTTCATATTTTCTCTGGTATTCTTACTAACCAAAACTTGACTCTTTGTTAAACAGTTCCCATCCAGAGTTTTCTAAGGAAAGAGGAAAAATGAAATTCTCCTCTTTTTGTGTGATTGAAACAAAAAGACAAACACACTGAAGAAAAAGACAGATGTAGGTGCTGTCGAGTAAGTGCTTATGTGTTCAGAGAAGCTGTAAGCACAGCAGAGAAGGCAGCTGAGGAGGACTGGTCAGAAGTGTATTGGTGTGATGGGCTTCTGAACTCTGCATTTTAGTGAGAGTATAGGATGAATCTGCTGTGTAGGCTGGTGTTGAAAGTTAGGGCTATTGAAGATAAAGAAAACAGTTTTGGACATTTTCAGAATAGATCTATTTCTTGAGCATCTAAATGCATAGACCTTAAGAGATTTGACTCTTACTCTTGTTTTCCCAGAGTTATGGTTTGAGAATCATTTGTAGGATCTTCAGGCAAATTTTCATTACCTTGTAGTATAAAAGGATACTTAGTAAGTATTTGTTGAGCTGGGGATAATGGGGATCAGGAAGGGTCAAACTTGAACCACTGTTGCCTTTGGCAAGTGGGTGGCTGTTGAGTGATGGCATGGACCCCAGATCAGACCATCAAAGACCAGAGGAGGTCTTTCTGGGAGAGGAAAAGAACATGCTTGGTGGTTACATCAGTTGCCTTGAGGCATATGTGTATGTGTGTGTGTGTGTATACACACACATATATATACATATATATACACATATATATATATATATATATATACGTGTGTGTATATATATATATATATATATGCTCTCTCACCACTCAGAAAGCATATAAAATGTGTAAAAAATATTTTATATATGTATATATATATACACACACACACACAATTTCCCACTACTCAGAAATATGTTTTATTTACTTTTTTTTTTTATTTTAAAGACAGGATTTCACTCTGTCTCCCAGACTAGAGTGCAGTTGTGCTATCATAGCTCACTACAGCCTCAAACTCCTGGGCTCAAGGAATTCCCCTGCCTTAACCTCTGAGTAGCTGGAACTACAGGCATATACCACCATGCCGAGATGGGATCTTGCTTCATTGCCCATACTGGTCTTGAACTCTTGGCCTCAAGCAATCCTCCTGCCTCAGAGTCCCAAACACTGGGATTACAGATGTAAGCCTCTGTGCCCAGCCTGGAAATATACTTTAACTGGTATTCACTGAAGATGGCCTTTAGCTGTCACTTTGTTCAAAGGCTTTATTTTTAAAATAATGTGTCTTTTAATAAATCAAGTATCTTTTTATGTATCAATAGCTTAATCTGGTAATAGTTACTTTATTATCTGTTAGTCCCCATGGGAACAGGGAATTTGTTAGTTCACTGGACATCTCAAGGTTCCAGGATATGAGTGTCCAATAATATTTGTTGAATAAAGAATGACCTAGGTGACTGATGTGTTTCAGTTGTGCTAGAAGGGGTCAATAAGCTTTGGAAACTTTGTCAAATTCTTTCAGGAAAATGTGTAAGACATGATCCTACACATGGCATAAGTGAGGATTCTAGGAGATAATATGTAAAATGGCTAGCATTTTACATATTATCCTTCTTGGGATAAGTGAGGATTCTAGGAGATAATATGTAAAATGGCTAGCATATGTACATTCTCAATACAAAGTTAGTAGTGGTGATGATTGTTACTCCTATTGGTGCTGAAGATATAGACTGCTAAAATACAGTCAGTTCTCATTATTTTTGTTTCATAAAGCTGCTGCAAATACCGAATTAGCAAATACTAAAAGATTACCATTAGGGATATACAGGATAAGTTCCTTAGAGCCTCTGGTCACAACATTCAATTAATCCATCAATACATAACTTTATTTTATGTGTGTTTCTTTGTAAAGACACATTATTTAATATATATTGTTGATTCATAACATTGAACTCATGGCCAGCAGCGCTATAACCTCACTGACTTGGGAACACTAGACAGCACTTTAGCACTAAGTTTGGGTGCCATATTGAATAGGGGAGTCACCAACAAAAACACAGAAGTGCAAAAAATATGGCACTACATAGACTGTGAAAAGGACACTTGTTTACAATATGATGTGACACCTGAAAGTAGAAGGCAGACCATCACCTTGTTTGACCTCACTTGGTAATGTGAATGTTGGAAGGCTCAAATTTCTTGCTGTTCTGTGCATGTGATTGATTGACTGTAAAAACTTTGAGAATATTGATTTTGGGGTTACAAATCAATACTTTTAGTAAGTAGGTGAATTTGCAAGTGAGGAATCCTTGAATAATGAGTGTTGGCTATATTAAAAACTGTTTTCTTGCATCTGTATTTCTCTAGTGGTTTTTCCTCTGGACTAAAAAGCTTACCCACTGGGGAAAATATTTTAAAACACTGCCTGCTCAGATGTTGTGGATTACAAAGGAAGCCACATTAATAAAGATTTTCCATGTATCTGATCTCTCATTTTTATCAGTTTGTTTGCCAATAAAAATGCCTCATCATTTCCAGATCTTGAAAGTTAACTGAGGCTTCACTGTTGAGATATGGTAGAATTTTGATAGAATTTTGATCATTCTTTAATTAGGCGGAGTGTGAGAGTGGGGACCTGGAAAAAGAGCACAGAGAGATAATGGGACCATTGCTGAAAAATCTGGCAAAAAGCAGTAGGATGACACAGGGTAGGTGAGCCCCCAAACTGGGGCTTAGCCTGGCAGGGTTCTTGGCATTGTTCAGGAAAGAATTCAAGAATGAGCTGGTGGTGGAAGAATGCAGTTTTAATGAAGCAACAGTGTACAAGAGAGTAGCTGCTCCTTGCAGAACAGGGCTAACTCACAGGCAGTGCATCCAAAGTAGCAGTGTATGGGCTGTAGAAAGCAATATTTATACCCACTTGGAATTACATGCAAATTGAGGGGTAGGTTATTCAGAAATCTTTTGAAAAGGGGTGGTAACTTTTGGGGGTTGCCTTGGCATTTGTAAACTGTCATGGTGCTGTTGGGAGTGTCTTATGCTGATGAGCAGTGAGGGCATCTAGAGGTTGCCTTTGGTCCCATTTGCTAGTTCTGGTATGTTTCTTCGTTTCATCCTGTTGAGACCAGGAAATAAGTACGGATTGTCTCCTACTTCAGGATGGCTTCCAAATTTTGGTGTAGGCAGTTTTTGAGGTAACCAGCCTCAGCTTACTCAGGGCCTAGAGGATAAAGGTCATGATTTTTACTTTTGTAAGCATTGTAAATTAGCATATTATAGTTATCAGAATGATCATTGTTATAAATATTAACTGAGTACTTGTTGGGATTGCTTGGAATTCTTTTAGAAAAAGGGAGAAAAGAATTGGTTTCAGTAGGTTCTATACTTTCAAGTTGCATAGCAGATAGATCACACAATTTAGTGACAACAAAGAAAACACAAAGAACAATACTAATAACAGTAGCATCTAGCATTTTTAAAGCCCTCTTTACAGGCTATGCCTTGTGTCAGTGTTTTAGCCTACCTTTCGTATATTTCTATGGTGTTCTTATGTATGATACCCGGGGTAAGGAAGGTACCTATGTAATTTAAAAAATTTTGCGTTAGATAAATGAAAAAACAGAAACATCAGGAATTAAAATTTACATCTAGATGAGTTATAAATATAATAAGGCACTACTATCTACCAGGTATGGTATTTAAGTGTTTTGTACAATATAATTCTAATATGAGGTAGATAGGATCCCATTTTATTAATGAAGGACCTTGTGCTTGTCTGTCTTCTGTCACTTATCAATCTTAAGTTACTCAAATAAGGTAGAACTGTGATTCAAACTGAGGACTGTCTGACTTCAAAGCTCACTCTTTTATTCATCATGCTGCAATGGTTTCCATGTATTTTGGTGTTCAGAGGTTTGGAGGGAGAGGCAGGCGTGATTGGGGGTGACAACTCATGTTGATTTTGGAATGGAAAGAAGACTAGGTTTCTTATGAAGTAAAGGCAGAAGACTCAGGGTGTGGTTTAACATTCAAATCCAAAATAAATAGTTGTATTTATTAAAGGTGCTCATAGCATGCCTGTCTGCATAGTTCTTTGTTTCCAAAGCTGCTTCTGAAAAAGGAAAGGAAGTAGGCTGTGAAGGCTCCAAGAAAGATAGCAAAAGATAGAATGGTGGATACTTAATTATTCACAAGGGTGTGGTGTATCAGTAAGTGGTAGATTTTTCCCATTTCTTATTAATGATCTTCAAATGTTGCTACTTGATGACATTAAGTTGTCTTGTCTACATACCCATCCTGTGTTCTACTACTGAACACGGATATGTAACTCCTAACATCTGGATGTTTTTCACTCGTCTCTCTGTTTCCCCCTCACTTTTATTTTCTCCTAACCTGACTTGTTAATTGCTTTTTTTGTGTGTGTCTTCATAAATTTATAGCCAGTCTGTTCTATTCTGGACTGTTTATCTTTAACATGCCAGAGGTCTTGAAACATCATAATGTTGTGTAATGAGCATAACTTCTGCCTTGACTTGTGGGTGTTAAGAGCATTAGTCAGTGCAAAGTATTCAGTTAAATGTTTTCAATGAAAGGATATAATGATCTAACATAGAGGAAGAAGTTATAAAAATCCTAGTTAATGGCATTAATGGTGAGCCATATACTTAGGGGGTTCCTTCTGTGATGAGTTAGAGATTCACAAAATGAATGTAAAAGCATTCTTACTCTTAATTAATGAGAGAGGAGAAAGACCAACAATAATAAGAAAAAAAGGACTTAATTCTCATCCATACCAAGAAAAGTGTAAGCATCCAAGTTCCCAGTGATTCTAATCCTGATTCAGTACCTTGCATATATCTTTAGTTATCACAAGAAATGTTAAAGATTTCCATGAGATATTATCGAAAGGGACTCCTGGGCTGCATCATAAGCCTGATTGAAAGACTTAGCCTTGTAATGATCTCTTCTTGGAGGACCATCAGGGAATTCTTTGCAGCTCTATCAGAGAGTCAGGGCTTTCCTGAGCAAACAAAGTAGGCCTTTACCTACAGAGCTGATTTTATGAAGAGTTTTGGTCAGCATTAGTCACTGTGAAACTATGAGCCTCCTGCCTTGGTTAATCTCTACAGACATCTCCCTACAGCAGAAGATTGAATCCTCATCTCTCCATGAGTCTGAACATCTAAAGATGTTAGAGGTACATTAATTTGCTTCTTGCTGGGGAATGTGTATTGGGTCTTCTGGGAATAGTGTCTAGATGAATGTTTAATAATCAATTTAATAGGTTGGTGGGCTGTCTTATTTCCTGGGGTTGGAGGTTTAAACCAGGACACCCTGTGCTAACTCTGCTCTTTACCTTGCCAGCAATCCTTAGTCGTCCTGGTAAACAACTTCTGAGTTAAATACCTTTTCTTTTCTGGAGAGGTTACGAACAAAGGAAATGGCTTTGATGTCAGGACAGGGGGCATAAACAGTGTTTATGGCTGCTGTTAAAAATTTCTCATCTGGGTATTTTCAAAAGAATTTTAAGTCAAAATATATCACTTATGGGAAGTACCTTCTTTTCCGACATGATATCTTATACAAATTGATAATTATTTTCATGGTTTAAGTAGTAATTGATGACATTTTGGGGGTTGGAAGATTTGTAGGGAGGAGGAGATAGATTTTCATCAGATTTCCTCCCATCCTTTCCTCATGATGATTATTGATCTCTAGTCCTCATATGTAAGGTGTTGAATTTATTTACTAATGTTATTAACTGAATCTATAGATAAAGAGGTAGTTTTGAATGGGAGCCAAGTAACCTGTTGTTGTAAAGTCTATTTTACCTTTCATGATTACCATCTAGCACCTCCCTCCTTTCTGGCTGAATTCCCTGTCATTTTAAGTAGGCAGCAATTACTGGTTTGCTAAAGAAGTCAGCTCCTGCTGCCAAGGATCCTGTTAATTATCACTCTATCTCTAATTTAGCCTTCCTAGTGTTGAGAGAAGGTGCGTGTAAGCGTGTGGCAGAACGTCTGCAATCGCATCTTTGTAATAATCTCCTTTCTGAGACGGTTCAGTGGACTCAATGTTCCGCCAAAGGGCCGAGGCGGCCCTGGTGAGTGTTTTCAGCTCTCTTCTGTAGCTTGCTTGGTCAGTCCAGTTTGGTGTGATTATCCTCTCCTTTTGCTTCTGACCTGAGTGAAAGCTAATGGTTAGCATTAATGTTGGGAATTCAAACCTATTCCTGCTCCATCTCCGAAGTCAAATGGGACACCTTGAAAATACTTCCGTGGTTTTCCCACGAGCTATTTTTCTCTCTCTGTGAAAAGGAAATCATGGAATTGACTCTGTGCCTGTTTTCAAGAAGGTAGTACAGATGATAGCCAAAGTACCTCAGTTTACAGGTTCTTATATAGAACATTTTTTAAGGTATGTCAATCTTTGTATTATATCGAATTTTTGGTTATTGTTTATAAATGGCTAGATTGCTTTCTGTTTGTTTTCGGAAATGTTCAGTTCACTTGTTTCAGTGAACATTTTTTCAGAAGTTCCACTGGCTCATTTCATTAGGTTTGGAGTGCTTATGCTTCCTTTTCCACTTTTTATGTTATTTTTGGCAGTGTTGGTGTTTGAAGCTGTAGGAGTGATTCACTGCAAAGTGCATTAATTTTCTACATATCCAAATGCGTTTTCCAGTGGCCCCCAAATTTATTTTCCTCCCCTCAGATGATTCTGCAGTTGTCCTTCTGTCATTCTGCTGGCTCAAACATAAATGCTGATGTCACTGAATTTCTTAAATTACAGCTGGTGGGGATTAACAGAAATTGTAAAAGAATACCACTTCCTCATTTTGCTATTTTCTTGACTAATTATTATCCTTTCAAGTACTGTAGGAGGATAGGGATTTGGAAATGAATTCTTTGTCTTGCAATTTAAACAGCAATTTTCCTTTTCCTTCTTCTGTTATCCTTCAAAAATAATGTAGTGCTTAGGATGCTTCTCTGATGTGCCCTTTAGTAACCCCAGACAGAAGAGTCTCACTCCTGATTTTGTACTTTGGACTGTCTTCTACCCTGGGTGAAGGGTTTTGAATACTTCCCTTAAGTAAGTTTCCTTATATAGAATATTTTTACTCAACAGTTTTTCTCCAACTCCAGGCCGTTACTGGTATTATGTGAAAGGTTGTGATTGCTTTATTCATTTGTTCAGAGCCTTTGCTCCTTTAACGAATGCTTAGCTCTGTTCTCATCATTTTATTGTTTAGAATCTGTTATTTGTGACAATTTTGATTGCCCCAGCCCTCTCCACATTAATTTTTCTGGCTTGCCTTTCCTTGTTTTAACAGTGGGAGTCTGGGCCTCCGGCTTTCTTATCACTGGCTTTGTAGTTTGAGTGATGGTTTCATGAACCTTGTCCTGCGAGTTCTCTGGGCTTCCGTGCCAGACACTGGAAGCCACCTGGAAGTGTGCACACAGGATGGCCGGGTGCTGCTGAGCGGTATTGATTGAACTGCAGTCCCATGGAAACAGAAATAGAAAGGGTTCAGCATTCGCACTTTCTTCTGGTGGCATTTTTGCTTATTTTGTGTATTTAGAAAAGGTAGCCATATGCAAACTGCTGACTTACTATTTCCCGTGGAATGGAAACCATTTGGATTATTTCAAAGAGTTTTAGCGAAGATTTGTTTGTTCACAGTATTGGTTTTGTTTTCTGGTAGCCTGTGTAGAATAAGACCAGAATGTGTCTTTTTACTTTATGGAAATGAGTGCTTACTTGGTGTTTGGAATTTTGCAAACCAACATGAATTTGAAAAGTCATATGTTTATTCCAGAGTCAAAATAGAAACTCTTTAGTGAAAATTATAGATATTTCCATCTTGGATCATTTACTTTCTGTGAAAAAAAATTTTTTTGACAAAATTGTTTAAGATTTCAGAGCAATCTCTTATCCTGGTTAATTTTCCCACAAATTAATTTCTCTCAGTTTAATTAAAAGCAAAATAAGATTAAACTAAAGATTTGCAGACCAAGATAATATGTGCTGCAATATTTGCTGTAAGCTGGTGACTGGTTCTTTGCTGTTGTCTTGCATGAGAGAGTGGATTTATTTTAACTGTTAGTAGTTAAGGTTTGGATTAGAAATATAAATAGAATTTCTTTACCGTAAGATCTCTTAAGCACTGATTTGAGTTCCTGAGGTTAAGTTATGATTATTCAGCCTCTGAAAAATTTGCACTATAAGTAAGATTCATATATACTTAGCCAACATTTCCTTCTACCGTTGAAGTGATAAGTTCTTTCAATTGAGATTTTGGAATAGTATAGCTTGGAAAATACTTCACATGCCATTGTAGAGATTTTGGTTAAATGTGAATTTTAAAAATTTGATTAATAGAATAAAAAGGGGAAAGAAAAAATAGTTATGAATTGGTTGAATTGTTTGGGCTATGAGGTATCTTTTTGAAAACAGTTTTTATGGTTATGTAGAAAATGTCACTAAATATAAGAAAATGGAAGTTTAATAGCTGAATGAGGTAGGAATTGGAAAGATACCATGAGATCGTAACTTAACTGGAGTATGCATTAAACGAATTGATATTTCACTAGCTTGGTGACCATGAATAGTTTTGTTTATCATTTTATCTATCTTTTTTTTGAGATGGAGTCTTGCTCTGTCACCGAGGCTGGAGGGCAGTAGCACGATCTCAGCTCACTGCAACCTCTGCCTCCCAGATTCAAGTAATTCTCCTGCTTCAGACATCTGAGTAGTGAGAATACAGGTATGCATCACCATGCCCAGCTAATTTTTGTATCTTTTTTTCTTTTGGTAGAGACGGGGTTTCACCATGTTAGCCGGGCGGGTCTCAAACTCCTGCCCTGTAGTGATCTGCCTGCCTCGGCCTCCCAAAATGTTGGGATTATAGGCATGAGCCACTGCACCTGGCCTCTTTATCCTTTTATCTTATCCCAGAAAACAGCAGAATGCTGGACCTTGTAATTCTTCAAAAAATGTTGAATCAATGAATGAATGAATGCACATTTTGGGAGGCCTTTTTGCAGACCCAGCTGTGCTGCTACCTAATCATGTGACCCTGGGGATCTGTCACCTGTTATATACAATGAAGGCTAAATACGGGATCAGGGATAAGTATGTGGGATTGTGTTGCTGCCCCCTCTCCTGTAGCATGGTAGATATTGCCAACTGTCACCTCACTCTTTCCTGTGAACCCGGGAGGAGCCTTGAGCCCTTCTGAATTTAGTGCATCAGGCTTCCATGACTCACTGTAGATCCAAGACTTATAACTTACTCTACCTTCTCCTTTTGGTTTTGGTCCCTCAAGCCCAGTTACAAATAGGCAATATTCTATGATGTTTCTTGGTCCGCAGATGTTCATTTAAACAATAGCAACAACAGCATGCACCATTATCCCTCCATTCAATAATTTTTCTGATAGATTTAGCAGATGTATTAATAGATAGAACTTAATGAATGGGTCTAGACAGTATTCTTCCAGTGGGGTAGGATATAAAATAGAATTATATTAGCAGAGTTTTTCACTTTTACTCTCCAAAGCACATGTCTCCATCAGGTGCACAATTATGGAGCACCTACTGTATGCCAGCACTATGCTATTGATAAATAAATGGCCATCCTATAATACATGGGCTCTGCCTTCCTGTAACTCACAGTAACATGAATATGATGCTAGGTCTGTAATTATTTCTTTAAGGACAAAAGATGGAAGGACATGTAATCCTGGCACTTTGGGAGACAGAGGTGGGCGGGTCACTCAAGGTCAGGAGTTCAAGACCAGGTTGACCAACATGCTAAAACCACGTCTCTATTAAAATACCAGAAATTACGCGCCTGTAATCCCAGCTACTCGGGAGGCTGAGGCAGGAGAATCACTGGAACCTGGGAGGTGGAGGTTACAGTCAACTGAGATTGCACCACTGTACTCTGGTATTACCCCACTGGAAGAATACTGTCTAGACCCATTCATTAAGTTCTATCTATTAATATATCTGCTAACTCTAGCAGAGCAACAGAGCGAGATTCTGCCTCAAAAAAACAAAAACAAAAACAAAATACGATTGCCAAGCAGATGAGAGGAAAGCATTCCAGGTAGACCTAGGCATGGAGGTGCAGCGTGGTGTGGCACTGAGACAGTCTAAGCATGGAGCATGGCTGGAGCACCAGGGAGTGTGGCCGGCTTCATGCAGAGGGATAGTACTCTGGCTGCCAAATGAAGAATGGGTTGGAGGGTGGCCAGGGCTGGTGTCACATAGACCAGTTAGGATGGTATTAGCTGAACTGTCTTTGTGAGTAACGATGATACACATGCACCATTCAACCCTGAAGATAGGTTGTGATTGCAAGAGGGTAAATACCTTGTTAAAGATTTCAAGGGCAACAAGGACAAAAGTTAGGCTACGTGTAAACTGATTACTGCTAACAATAAAGTGACAGCTTGTTCATTCCTTTGTCATGTAGGTGGTGGAAAAGGGTTCCCCTCCTTTCCTGAAGTTGATTTATAGTTTGACAACATGTTCTCTGTCCTCTATATGAAATTTTGCATAAAGTTAGATAAGAAGATAAGCCTCAAGGTCTGTGCCTTATATGGAGCATGCTTGCATGTACACAAAGACACATGCTCGCATACACACCTTCCTTCCCTAATAAAAGATACCTGTCTTCATTCCATAGGTAGACAAGCACCTAGAATAAGGCATATGAGGATTCCCATGAGAAAATCTGCTCCAGGAAAAGTTTTAGGTATCTTCTCATATTTTGTGAACACTGATATTTTAATGGAATAATCCTGGCTGTTTAGTTGCAAATCCAAGAAGAAAAGTCTTCCATATATAATTTGGCTTTGGTGGCTGCTTCAAATTAGCCATCCTGCTGTATTCCAGGTTATTACCAGTGTTTGGGATTCATGCACAGAAGCAAGAATTTGCCTTGAGGCAGAAGACTGGTAGACACTAGATAAGCAGCTTATTTTAAAGAGATGTTTTGGTACAGAAATAGCAGTAACAACAAATTCCTCCCCCTAATAGAAATCTTCCCCCCATTCCCTATCCAACCCAGAATCCTTTATTATAATATGGAGTC